AGAAGAAGAGACTGTTTGTCTCAAGGATTCACTCCGTGTTTGAGACACTTGCCTGAAAAGAGAACTGCTCGATCACCCAGATCTTGCACAAGATGGGTGGTGCGGTCTATCCTAAATTAAGAAGAGAAATTTTCAAGAAAGAAAAACCATATGTATGAAAAGGATAACACACCCATTCCCTAGCAAGTTCCGTTCAGGGAACTAACAGATTCGAGTTATTCTAACCTGGGTACCAGCTAAGCTTTGCTTGGACCGAGAATGGAAGATATTACCACCTCCACGAAGAGATAGTACTTTCACACTTCTGTTAAAGTTGGACCGAGACACCATCCAAATTCCCCACTGACACATGATGAGATGCTTTTAAGAGCTAAAGAAACATCTGCTAGCATGAATTCCCTAGTATGTATGTTTCGAGCTGGGGATCATACCCGCCCACAACTCGATGACACACCTCTAAAGGCATCTCGTCTGATACTCAAAGACAATGTATGGAAACATAAGCCATCAGAAGAAGTATCTGATGTTGTGGGTACATGGTATGGTATCTTGGCTGACAATACTCAATAAAAGACTCAGTCAATTGAAGAAAACTACATAAATTAAAAGCTAATGTTAAGCAATTTTTGGCAAACAAAGAAAGGAGTTCTTCTAATAACACGGAGAAAGAGCATGCAGAAATCAACATGGTAGAAACTCGTGCCACTTTGTTTGCATGAGATGTACCACCATCAAGTGAAGAAGACCTGAAAAATAAATTATAGAAGGTTATACAACAATGAGACAAACCTATCAATCTTCTCGAAAAGAAATTTGAGGAAATGATGATCGCATTAGCAAATCTAGATAGTTCACTGCAAGTGATCTCACCAAAGTCAGTTGAGATCATTCGACCAGAAGTAGTCCATATTCTCAACGATAAGAAAGAACCACCAGAAATGGAAGAAACAAGTCAAAGGAAAAAGGATTTGATTCATAGTGGAATTTTAAAAAAGGATATAACTCAGTTAGTGGAACAAAAGGTCAAAGAAACAATGGCTTAGGTGAGGGTCGGATCCTTAATGTCAAAGGGTAGACCCTACCCAGAGGAATATGATTCTATCCAATATTCTAAGGGCTTTGTGCCACCACACTTTAAAATATTTGATGTGACTGGTAATTTCCGTCAACATGTTGCATACTTCTCTGCAAGATGTTACAACGTCAGTTGTAATGATGCACTTTTGTTCCGTGAAATTGTCAACAGTCTCACAAGAGTTGCTTTCGATTGATATGTCTACCTCCCCAATGGATCTTTCAAGACTTTTGTTGAGTTGGAGAATCTTTTCATTCAACGCTTCGCTGGGGCCCAACACCATATCACTATTGGAGACCTCATGATAGAAAAGCAGAAGCCAGGGGAAACTCTTGTAGACTACATCCTTCGCTGGAGGAATCTCAGCATGAAGTGTGAACCGTAACTTCAAGTAAAACATGCTATTGAGATCCTACTCAAAAACATCCATTGACCGGTGGCATTCATGCATAAAGGGTTCACAATAAAGATATTTGAGAAGTTGCCAAGTAAAGCTGTCGGCCTCCAAGAAGAAGCCAAGCAAATGAACAAAATAGAAAAGGTAGAAAAACTAAGTCCAGTCAAAAACATTCGAAAAGAAATCACGAAATGTCTTGGCAGTAAAAAAGGGTAAGCAATTCATGCAGGTACAACCCAAACAAAGAAAATCGAGACAAAGCGTCAATCCACCGCAACCAAGGTCGCCCTTACAATTGCAGTTCCAACAATCGAATCAATAGAGAGCAAAAAAGAAATCGATGCCAAAACAGATGAATAAAGAATATCCATTCAAAAGGGAAGCTGCCACAAAAATATTCCGCATTTTATTGAAGATACCAGAATTCAAGCTGCCCGAGGCCAAAAAGCCAGGGGAAGTTGAATTGAAGGACCATCCCAACTATTGTGCCTACCACATGATGCTCGAGCACAAGATTGAAGATTGTTTTGTCTTCAAGGACTGGTTACAATACAACTTTATGGCAAGGAACATAATCACCTTGAAGGAATACTTGAAAGAGCACGAAAAGGGTTCTATCAATGCAATGTCAGCTGGTGAATTTGTTCCTGTCAACCCCTACAAAGATAAAGATGGATGAGATGTATCATGGACCAAGTCTTCAAAGATGGCCCTCAATAAGATGAAAGCTACTCAAGCCTCAACATCAAAGTCGATGCCCCCACCACAATGGAAAAGAAAAGAAAAAAAAAAGAGAAAATAAAGTCGAGAGGATAAGAGGCCATCACAACATAGGAGTTTTTATTCCCTTTGTACCTTCAATTTCTTTTATTTCTACTTCTCCTAGATTGGTTGTCTCAGAATTGGGGATAAAATCCCTCAATCTGTTGACTTTGTATGAATTTTCTTCGTCCCTCTGAGGACAGTTAATGCAAAGACTTTCAATTTTGGTCACATTTTCTCTATTTTTTATGATGATGCTCCTGAAAACAACCAATTTGGTTTCGATCCTTTAAACAATTCTCAAATCATACACAATCCCGATGGGTCAGATGACAATCAAAGTACAATCAACTGTGACAACGACATTAATGGCAATAACAACTACAATGACAGTGAAAATGAAGATATATCTACGCTTAATTTGCAAGGAACACCAATTTCCATAGAATTGGAATAATCAAACTCGGAGACAAAGGACTCAGACGAGTTACTCCCAGGAGAAACTTCAAAGCCTACAAATGAACAAAAATAAATAATTGAAATAAACTTGCGAAGAGGAATGCTTTTAACTCCAAGGATGGCTCATAAAGAAAAAGAAAAACAAATAGTTGTGTCAGAAGATGTATTTCTACTGGTACAAGAAAGACTAAAGAAAATATTAATGTCTTACAACAAAGTCGACTATAATGTTCTAGCCCATTTGAGGAAATTGTCAGCAAAGTTAAGCATTTATGAAGCTCTCATTCTCTCGAAAGAATTGAGAGAATCATTGATAAAAGCTCTTTTAGATCCTAAAATCAGTTTAACCCAACTTGTTATATATTCCCTAGTTATGTATTTTCATGAAACTAGCCTCCAATATCATTGTGCTTCACAATGAATTAGTTCTTTCTATTTTGTGACTACTTAGCAAATTATTTGATTTATTTGTTTAACCAACTAGTCAGCATTAAGTTTGTGATTTAGAAAGTAACATTAACTCCAAGAATTTCTACAGCAAACCTCACTCGTACATTAAAGTTAGAATGAAGAGAGTGAAGCAGTACATCCTTATGCTCTACATTTGTCACCTTTAAACAGGTCGACTTCCATGATTGCATCAGAGGTATCATCGATTTTATTGTAAGTGGTTAATTAGTTCAATATTTTTGAGCTAAATAATTAAATTGGATATACGAAATTGATTTTGAGAATAAGTATATTCTTTCAAAAAAAAATAATAATAATAGTCTAACTGAAAGAATGGCATCAAAAATTATATGCATTTCGATGAAATTATGAAAAGGTTGCAAAAGACAATTTTACAAAATTTGATCACAGTTTTACTCACTTTTCTAATTATAATACTGTTATTTATACCATAATCATCAAATCTTCGGCATCACCGAGACATCGAAAAACATTAGTCCGACTCGAGAGCCAAGTCTGCTATGGCATGCATCTTTCTTGACTTCAAATTCAAATGGAACTAACATTAGGTTAAATTTCAAGTTCAATTAAAAACATTAGTCCTTCGACCCGAGAACCAAGTCTACCATGGCATGCATCTTTCTTGACTTCAAATTCAAATGGAACTAACATTAGGTTAAATTTCAAGTTCAATTAAAAACATTAGTCCTTCGACCCGAGAGCCAAGTCTACTATGGCATGCATCTTTCTTGACTTCAAATTCAAATGGAACTAACATTAGGTTAAATTTCAAGTTCAATTAAAAACATTAGTCCTTCGACCCGAGAGCCAAGTCTACTATGGCATGCATCTTTCTTGACTTCAAATTCAAATGGAACTAACATTAGGTTAAATTTCAAGTTCAATTAAAAACATTAGTCCTTCGACCCGAGAGCCAAGTCTACTATGGCATGCATCTTTCTTGACTTTAAATTCAAATGGAACTAACATTAGGTTAAATTTCAAGTTCAATTAAAAACATTAGTCCTTCGACCCGAGAGCCAAGTCTACTATGGCATGCATCTTTCTTGACTTCAAATTCAAATGGAACTAACATTAGGTTAAATTTCAAGTTCAATTAATCACTGATGAGTGATAAACACTCTACAATAGCCTGAAAATCGTATTTCAATCCAAATTATCTGCTTCGAATGAATGTAATGAAACAAATTCAAATGAAGAAAATATTCAGATATGCACCTCAAAATTTAGTACAACTCAAGAATTTAAATCATTAAGCACTCCTGAAGCTCCACGGCATTAATCAAATCAATGCAAATTCTCTAAGAAATAAAACTAGAAATTACAGCAAGATTAGTATATGGAGTTGCAGCAGTACTGCATAAAAGCAGAAGTAACCGCAAAACCCTTTCCCTCAGAATATCAGCATTAGCAATACTTCTTAACAAAATAAACACATACTTAGACTAAAATATTCAGCTAAAACTCAAACAACGTTATTTACAAGAAAAAAAAAGGTTCTACCAGTTATGAAGAAAAAGAGAGATCAAAGGAGGAAAAATTATTGCATCATGACACTTGATGCAAATTTGTGTCAGGTGTCCAATTAAATTTGATCATGTGTTAGGACGAGTCTCACACTTTTAAAAAGCAATTAACCAGTAGGTGTCTAATTAAATTTGATCATGTGTTAGGATGAATCTCACACTTTTAAAAAACAATTAACCAGTGTATTTCAGCGAGGTCCAAATTTTGATGTGACAAATTTTAATTGAACACCTGACGCAAATTTGCGTCAGGTATCTTGATGCAATAATTTCTCAGACGAGAGCTAATGATGGAATGAATGAATATATCTCTATCAAATTTATGATCTTTTATTTATATCAATAAATATTTGACTACAATTAATAATGTGTTATAAAAGATGCTAACCCTGTGAACTCTAAGCACAATGAGCTTGCTCCAATGGTGGCATTCAACATCTCTGCTATTTAATCACCGAGCAATCTAACACCCTGATATATAGCTCCAGGACGAAGATCATCTAGAGTATTAAGACTATGAGTATCTACACTATGAAATCCACCAAGTTCTCTTAAACAAGTCCAGTTATGACGAAGGAGGAATTCCCGGAAATCTTCCTTGGAGTATAGAGTCTTGTCCTCTGTACGAACAGTCATACGGTCGGCATCCTCGTATAGGCAGATCTTTATATGTATTCCTGAAATGATTGGGTAAAGCTCATCTTAGATGAGTTGAACAGGTAAAAATGCACATGAAGAATGGGGACAGAACCAAATGGATAGAAGTTTGAGGAAGGGTTAGCAGGAAAATATTGAAAAACAAGATTGCAATTTAAAAATAATCAAATATGCATGAGCATGTTGTAGAGTGCTATTTTTTGCATATAATTTTGGTATCACGTCATGTGAAAAGCTGGAGTAATTAGTTGTAACCTTGTAAATACCATGTGTAAAATCAGAAGAATATGTGAGCACAACAAATAGCATAGCGAAAAGTCTAATTGAACACTAGGAAACATGTAAATAAGAAAATTTCAAGCATTCTTTAGGTGCTGTCTGACAGCAGATGAGATTTAAATTAGTAGGATTTAGTAAATCCCATAAATCCGGATTTACTAAATCCTGAATGGGCTAAATCCGGAAAACTGTCTGGCAACAGATTAATTAAATCCTATAAATCCAATAAAACTGTTTGGCAATTTCTGCCGGGTTTTAAACAGCAGTTAGGGTTGTTGGAGTGTAATAAGAAAACCATACACATAATCTTAAGCTTCTCCCACGAAATATAGGAATTCAATCTCAGAATATAAAAAGCTTGAATTATCTTTCCCAAATCCCCAATTGAACAAACACAACATTAGAATTTTCTACATTTTGCAGTAAGCCAAGCAAAACTAAGCCAATAACTAGATGAACAAAAGCACATAAGAATTTTCCGTTACAACCACTGTAAACTTTGTAGACATCAAAACTAACTCAATATTCAATCCACTTTACAGTAAGTATAAAACTGCAGGAAAAGTTATACAAACCCAATAACTCTCCCCTCGATAAGCATTTTCCAACAAATATAAAATGCAAAATTCAAAATCAATTTAAAAATGAAAGTGAATAAAACTTAAAAAATTTCAACTTGGGCAATTTTATAAAGATCAACCCACTTTAACACCCCAATTTGTTCACTAAAAAAAAAAGTAAAAAAAAAAATCAGAAAAGCAGGGACATCCACATGTTCTCCAGCAATGACGCTCGATGCAGTGGTTACCATGCAAAAACATAGGTCATCGAAGCTTTTATGCCAATGCATCATAGAGTAGGGAATGCCAAATCACCTTGGACAATGATAAGATTGTCCATGTATAATGTAAACACATATCATATTTCATGTAGGGCATTAAAGAGTGTAAGAGGAAGTAAAAATCAATTAAAATGATGGGGAAATTACGTACATAGCTATTTCCAAATGAAGTTGAATCCGGAAAACATATATTGCGGTGGTTACCATGCAAAAGCATAGGTTGTCCAAGCTGCTCCGCCATTGCACCATAAAAGCAAAGATCCCCAAAAAAATATATGAGTAGAAATTAGGGATCCCCAAGCTGATATTGCAACTTATAAATTCTTATCTTGCTAAAAAATAACAATTAGAGATGGACAATAGATATATGTACAAGTACTAAATGAATTCATATAAATCTCTAGACCTGAATGACTGCATGTCAACTTGCAGTAAAAAATAAATGAAAGCTCAAATATCTGTTTCTCCAAAAATGAACAATTTCAAAAACAACCTTTAGCGATCAAGAAAGTAACATTATTTATTTCTTTTCTTCACAAATTTTATATGGAGGTAATATTCTTTTTGCTTTATTTCCGCTTGCTGCTATTTTTGCCATGCTCAATGCAAATCAAACATTTGTTTTCATTTGCTTTCAAGGACCTGCAGAATTTTTTTTTCTGATAGAAGGACTAGGTAATGAGTTTTTGGGTTGCAAATAAATTAAAAAACAATGTGACTTGGAAAAGTTAACCTTTTTCTAAGTTATGGAAGAAAACTACCCGTTACTTGCCTTGCAGGAGTCTCCTAAATGCATTGAATTCAAACAATACTTGCACACTGATATATAAAACTTCTTTAATTGCATTCAGTATAGCTTCAAGTGTTACCCAGCTCACATAGTCTTTACCTTTTCTTGGTAAGACTGAAAATCCATCAAACCACCTCAGGTAATCACACACTGTTGCTATCAGAGAATTCAGATTAGGCAATTACCCATTTTGTTAAGGCTGCTATCTTTAGGATATTCTAAGTACAAGCTAAATCCAGAAACAAACTTAAGAAAAACGTTATATATCTTGAGACAAAAGGTTTGATGACAATCACATCATCCATGGAGGCGATATCAAGTCCAGTTTAAGCAAGCTAGCCTAAACTCGAAGTAAAAAATTTCCAATTTCAACTCAAGCTAGCTTCAAGTTAAATCAAAAGTGATTAAATTTGACCTAATTTGAATAAACTATACTGTCTTTATAAATTATTCACGGCCAAACAGAAGTGCTATCAAACACAAACACAAATGAATCAAGTGCAAGGAGTCGAGCATTGCGGGAAAAGTGATACTGAGAACACTCAATATATGGCTTGTCTCAACTGACATTGCAAAATTATTAAATAAAAAGTTGTGTCTAATGTTATACTGAAACACTGAGCATAAAAAAAGTGAAGAACCATTGCGTCGTTTTTGTTCAGATTCCTGTAACATATGTAAAGCTAACATTAACATAATGCATATATGAAATATAGAATAAAATGATTAAATAAAAATTCTTACACGTAATTCTCACAAATTTATAGCAATTGAATGTCAAAACATATCACCTTCAAATTTTTACCCAATAGTTGCATGCACATTAGGGTCATCAACCGTATTGATCACCTCAACCAGTTATTTATCGTGATGCATTTCAATATGTGACATGTTGAAATATATATCATGTCCGTGAAGTCTACCAATAAAATTATCTTGAAATTATGCAAGATGACACAAGCAATGACTATATCACGCTACACACTCAATGAAAACTCTTGCATATGAGTTAAAACTTGAAATCACTCATTCCATATATCAAATGTTCTTTCTACTGTATTTCTTAATCAAGCATGACAATGGTTATATAAATCTTTTGCTCCCGAGTAATACTGTCACATTCCATTGCTCCCGGAATGGGAAGAGATGCATGTCAATGAGGGCTTCAAGGATGGAGAGGGCAAGAGTAACCGAAGTGCCATGTGTTTGACCATGAACCTTCGCATTCCTAGCTCTCAAACAACAGTGAACTGCATAACAAAACATGCGGACAGAGGGGATGTCCGAGGTGCAAACCTGAGTAAGCCCATGAGGGCATCCACAATGCTAGCAAATATTGGCAAAGAGAACCCCCAATTGGCAAGGTTTTGTGCACCGACATCAACAACATGGACATAATATGGGATCGGTTCTCATTCTCCTGACACCCCAAGAGTGGTTACAACCGTTAGGCCACGATTTAAGAGCCAGGCTTTTGTTGGAATGGCATTTTGCACCACTCGCCACCAAAACATTCTTTCACGAGGGTGTAAGTGGAGCTTTTTCAGCCAAGTAAAATCCTCCATGTTGGCCACGAACTTGGTTTCATACGCTCAAGCCTTAAATGTTTTTCTCAGAGTGCGCCTGGACAAGCTCCAAACAAACACAGTACTCACTAGGATGATAACTGCAACCCCCCTAGGGTGCTAATAATTTATTAGTGTTAGCATATCCTAAGTCAACAAGGTAATATCGGCCTTGTGACACGAAAAAATCATTGCTCCGCCAACCAACACAGCACACTCATATCAACTGTCGATCCCTCCCAACTAGAAGCAACAAACAAAAAGTGACGATCAAATGAGAAAGTAGTCATCACATTTTGTGAGGTAAACTCTCTTCTGTTACGATATCTATTCTGTGAAGTCCAGATCAACAACAACAGGTATAGGTGTGTCATCAATTGCTCCAATTATATTTTCAAAGAAAAAATAAAATTGCTGGTTAGAACGGATGAAAGAGTGGCATTTAGATTCATCTGCTGGCAATCAAATGTATTCCTCAGTCAAAGAAACAATGACTTGTAAGACAATTTTGAAGTATCTGCCAAATATTTTGAATAAATGTTGAAAGAATTCACAAAGTTGTATATATTAATGTGCATGTGAAACTCCTCTCAAAAAAAATTCAAGTTGTTCTACAATACTCATATTTCTCGGATCACTTAATAGATTAACATTTACTATAAAGTCTCGTAGTTGAGTGAAAGCATCAAACAGTTATAACAACGTATTAGATGTACAATAAGAACATCCATGACATACAGTTGCCCAGTGTATTAGACTGTACAATGTTTAATGCTCTAACAAACATTAGTTTCAGAATAAATTCATTATCATCGGATGAGCTACTATGCATAACTCTTGGTAATAGCTCATTAAAGGCATAAGTTACATCAATGTAATTGTTTTGAGATTGTACATATTGTCCGATAATCTTCCACAAGAATAATTAGGCATTCCTGTGATAAGCAATTTTTTAGTATAAAATTCTACATGAAGATAATAATTCATAGAGCATTAAAATAACATAGGTAAGAATAGAAGCAACACTGAAGCAACACTGACTGAATAATAAAACGGACATAATAACACTACAAATATAACCATGGGGATGAAATGCCGATATAGATAAAAAAAATAACAGTATTGCTAGTGGATTACTAAGACTTTAACATAGAACTAAGATGCTGTTAAAAAAAATTCGATGTCATCAAACATGAAAGTCAAGCAGAACATGAATGTTTTGCAAGAATGTGCTCAATCCAACATCCAAGTTGAGGGCCTTGGTATCTCAAGAGAGCATATTTCTTGTTCACGTATTCATTGAGCGTGTCCAAAACAACGAGTGTGGCTTCTTCTAAAATGTCATCAATACTTCCTAACTTTGCAAGACAATCATTCATCGAGACAGAGACATGTTGGTCCAACAAGTCCTTCAATGCTACAATGGTCTCCACCTGCACAGAAGTAATATGTTGAATGCCTCTTTATCAGCTCATTTTTCGGTGCACCGTGATGCTGGAAGCATCTCTTTGCTGCGTTGTTTGGTTCCAACACTATGTGATTCTG